TCATGCAGTACATCTTGATGGAAACGCAAAACATTTGCCCACAGGAATTTCTCAACACAAAACGTGCACTGTATGAGGTGGTTAGCTCTACTGTCTTTGTAGCATGAAAGTTCAACATATTGGATTATGTGTTTCACTCCCAGAATAATATTCTTGTGGCCAAGCAACATCGAAAACAGCTTAATCACTTCCTGTGCGAGTGAAACCTGATTAAGGACAAATCAGTACTTCTGTCTAATTCTAATAGTTGACGAGCTCTGCTGTCCGCTCTGCTGACGGCAGTCCTGTCCTTCCTCAACGATGATAAGGGAACTGCTGACTGCTTTTTCCCAGTCAGCCGCACTGCTGAGATTTGTGACACTAACTCCCTGTCTTGACGTTCTAAAGCCTGAATCGTTTCATTTAAGTCCGAGACCAGTGCAGATTTCTGCCCGTCCTGAGGCAAAGGGAGACTATCCTGAAGTTCTCGTTTCACGGAGCCGGTGTCTTCGGTCGCGCACCCGTCCAGCCTGCCGCTGCAGTGCAGCAAAGGAACTTTCGTCTACGAGGTAAAGGTTGTCTTCATTCTGTTTGCAGAAGCGTCCGGAAGGCCCGTCGTGTCCAGATAAAGCTTCTTTACAAGTGGAACACTTACGTTTCGATGGCATAAGTCCAAAGTTGATTATACTAAAACTTAAAAGATGAAGGTTATGATATACGCCGCACAAGCATGGCAGGCGGGACGGAAAGGAGAGGACGCATGCGTGGCAAGACAGACATTTCCGGTAGTTATGCAAATTAAACATCATGACACATGATTCTACAATTAATCCACACAACCCACTCTGGCTTCTCATTTACCCGCCTAACTCACACTCCTCACCACTGGTTTCTCTTTAATTAATCTAATGACTTACATTCAATAATTGTCATGGTAATCCCACTCATCTCATTTATGATATTTTAGCTCAGCATCAAGTTATCGTAGCTCATCATGTAACCTTCTTTGATGCTTTGCTATCCCACCCTTGTTATTGTTATCTCCTTATCATATGTACATGTATCTTGTATATAAACTGGTGTACCCCATCATTCCCCCATACGCTTGAAAACGGTATTCGAACCTATACCTAAACGTCGCCATTGTGAAAATAAAGAAGTTGATCAACCATAAAGTTGTGTCATCTCAATGCGTCAGATGTGGAAAATGCCCGGCACATGTGACCATAAAATGTTTCGAAAGTTTTTTGTGAGATCTTGAATGTTGTAACATTGATCAAATATCATTTGTTGTTTGGCGCTCTTTCAAACTTTCTTAGAAAGAGAAAGCTTGTTTGTACCTAAAATGTTGTGGAATATGGACGCCAAATGGAGTTGCAGGATTTGGTTGGTTGGTTTGTTGGTTGTTTAACGCCGCACTCAGCAATATTTCACCTATAGGGCGGCGGTCTGTAAATAATCGACTGGACCAGACAATCCCGTGATCAACCGCATGAGCATCGATCTACGCAAGTGGGATACGATGTCATGTGTCAACCAAGTGAGCGAGCCTCACCACCCAATCCCGTTAATCGCCTCTTGCGACAAGCATGGTTTGCTGAAGACCAAATCTAACCCGGACCTTCACGGGTCGGGGTTGCAGGAACACAGGTCGACGTGAAAAGAGTTGACAATATGTGATGAATGTTTAAATCATGCAGTATTTTAAAGAGGTTTGTCACTGCATTAATCTAAATGTATAATAACAAAAGAAGACAAAGAGCATCTATAGATTCCCCGGACATTGTCTGATCTTGATGATAATGGCACGTGCCAAGACATGTGGGATTGTAAATTCTGATCGGTTTGTCCACCTCCTTGTTGAAAAGGTTGAATACAATACCTACCGTATGACATCTCCACAACACTTTGGACAAATACCCGAGCCTAAAGGTTAAAGCGTTAGCTCGTCATGCCGAAGACCCGGGTATGATTGCCCACATGGGTACAACGTGTGAAGCCCATTTCTGGTGTCCCTTGCCGTGATATTGCTGGAATGTTGCTAAAAGCGGTATAAAACCATACTCACTCACTCACTCACTCACTCATTGTACAAATATCTGCTTCAGTAAAACTATAATGATACAAGTTCTAACCATCTGCGCGAAGACTTGTCTCCTTGTGTAGTGAGCCATGCGTACGTTTGAATATCATGTGTTTACGCAGTGGAATTACTAAATTTATTTGTGAACGTGAAACGTGCAAAAAAACGTAAATAAACAACCTTCTTGCCACTCCGACCACCAAACTAAATATGATACTTTTGCCACTCCGACCACCAAACTAAATATGATACTTTTTCTAAACTACATGAACTAAATAAGCTATCTACTAAGATACACAACTATAATTCTAAATTGTTTAGTATCTATACTATGCCCGAATATGGCAAACTATTTGTGTAATCTAACGACCAGAGTCTCACTGATCACAATTGTCGACCATTCACCTAGCCGTCAGAAACCTATCTGCTCGACTCTGCACGTGCAGAAAGTGACTGCACGAGGCGTTACGGTTGCGTTTTGATGCAACGTTCATGGTTCTTGTAAAGATGTGTTTTGGCTATCAGATAACTAAAAACCAAAGAAACTAAATTTCTCTCCAGAACATATCCCCCCCTTTGCTGATAAGACCCTGGTCTTTCAGAGAGACATCTGTTTACATCTAATTACACTAAATGTTGTGTAGACTTGTACTGAACTTGAAATGTACACGATGTTCGTCCTATTCTGGATACCACTCCAGTGGACAAAGCTTGGTAATAGGTCTAGTCAACACCGATTTCCCCACTTGAACATCCACTACTCTGACATGTCCATCTTTGCTTGGATATATCTTGGTGATTCTACCTAGCGGCCAGCTTCCTCGTGGAGTTTCAGGACTAACAACAATGACAACGTCATTTATTTTCAAGTCCTTACTTGTAGCTTGCCATTTCTTGCGGACATTGAGAGTGGGTAACCACTCTTTCATCCACCTTTTCCATATATGCCTCAGTAACTCCTGCACACGTCTCCAACGTTTACGAGGATTGAAGTCTTGTAGGTCTTCCTCTGGTGCAAAGGGGCCACCACACTGACCATGTAGAAAATGGTTTGGTGTAAGAGGCACAACATCACTGGGATGTGCGCTCTGATATGTCAGAGGTCGAGAGTTTAACAAAGCCTCTGCCCCTACAAAGGCGGTCATCAGTTCCTCGTCTGATATATCACCAGAACTAAGAACAGCATAGATTGCTCTTTTGGCTGATTTAATCAAAGATTCGAAAGTTCCACCAAAATGTGGAGCATGTGGTGGATTAAACTTCCACACGACCTTTCTGCTTGCTAGAGAGGCTTTTAGATTGTCTCCATCAAGTTCCGATATTAACTGTCTAAGTTCCTTGACGGCTCCTACAAAGTTAGTGCCGTTATCAGAGATGATTTCATTCGGCATTCCTCTTCTGTGTGCCATACGAGATAAAGCGTTCAGGAAAGAGTCGGTGTCTAAACCAAAAGCTATCTCCAGGTGTACCGCTCGAGTTGATAGACACGTGAATAAACACAGATACCGTTTCTGTCGATTTTTCCCCCGACCTTGCTTTGTTAGAAAGGGACCAGCAAAGTCTACACCTGTCTGAGCAAAGGGTCTCATGGAACATCTAACCCTGACACTTGGTAAATCTGCCATTATCTGTGTAGCAGGCTTGGTTTTCTGTCGTCTACACCAAGCACACTCATGTTCCCAACTACGAATCTCCTCACGAGCTGCTATAATCCAAAACCTACTTGACAATGCAGCCAATGTGTAATTGGTTCCCATATGACAACAGACTTCATGGAATTGTTTCACGATCAACTTTGTTACCCAGTGAGCTCTAGGAAGTATGACTGGAAAACGCGATTCATAGGAAAGATCCTCAGCATATCTGAGTCTACCACCTGATCTGATCAGTCCAGAATCGTCTAAAAATGGATGTAAACCCAATAATTTGCTAGATTTAGGAAGCTGTTTTCCTTTGGTCAAAGCTGCATATTCCTCAGTAAATGCTTCCTTTTGAGTGTTCAAAAGAACTAGTGTCTCAGCATCTTGAATTTCATCGGCATCAAGCTCACCAGATTTCCTAGTTTCTCCAGAAGAAACATTGTGAACGAACCGAAGTATCCAGGCAGTAACTCTGCACAATCTCCTCCAATCTGAATATCTTGAAGGGTCCAAGTGCCAGTTCATCACTGTAGCAGCTTAACATGTTACCATTGTAATATCTGACTGACATTCCTTGCGTCTTTCTAAGTTTTCATCAACTTTCAAGTTCCTTTGATTTGGCCACTCTTTCTCATCTTGTTTTATAAACTCTGGACCTTGAAGCCATTCCTTTCTATTCAAGGTTTCAACATGTGCTCCTCTTGTGAGAATATCAGCAGCATTCTGCTTGGTTGGTACATATTTCCACTGACTTGGTTGAGTATTGTCCTGTATGAACCCAACTCTGTTTTGCAACAAAAGGTTTAAAGTTTCTGCTTTGATTTTAATCCAACATAAGACATTTTCACTGTCTGACCAAAACTTTACTGATTTTGGAGAAACAGCAAGAGCCTCTGTGACAATTAGTGTCAGTCGTACACCAAGAACAGCTGCAAGCAGTTCCAACCTAGGAATACTCATTGCTTTTAGCGAACAACTCTGCTTTTGATGCTACTAGAGTGCTAGACCTGCTTTGACTGGGGAGGTTACTTACACAGTAGATGACTGCGCCAAATGCTTCTTGAGAAGCGTCTACGAATACATGCAACTGTTGGTCAATTGCAGCTTGATTTAAACCTATGTTTCTCGGAAATCTGAGAGAAGAAATCAGCTGCACTTCATTGTACCACTTCCATGTTTTTTGCTTCAAGATAAGGATTCATTTTCTCATCCCATCCGAGCCCAGCAAGCCACATTTGCTGCAGTAAGATTTTGCTCTCACAACGAATGGTGCTAGTAATCCTAACGGATCAAAAACCTTAGCAATTTCTCTGAGAAAGGATCTCTTTGTCACTGTGAGCAATTTGTTTTGAACTACAACCAAAGTTAAATTCGTCAGCTTCAGCACACCAGACCAGTCCTAAGGTTTTGACTGATGGCAACTCATCTGTCAATATGCTAATTTCCTGCAGCCTGTCTTCTGCTGGAATTTCATTCAGAACATTCTTTGAATTTGATAGCCATTTTCTGGCGTGCATACCTGCTGCTGCTCCCCAAAGGTTCATCAGCTGGTTGTAAAGTTGTAATGCATCAATGTCAGTTTGAACTGAATCTATGCTATCGTCCATGTAAGTTGATTTAACAACTGTCGTTGACGCCATAGTCAAGTCTGTTTCATGTAATTTGGCGTGCTCCTGTGTGATGTACTGAGCCAGAAAAGGTGAGCAGTTTATCCCAAACACTACTCGAGAGAATTCATAAACAACGGGAGGTTTGACCTGATCATTTGATCGCCAGAGAAACCTGAAGTATGGACGGTCACACTCCGCAATCTCTATTTGCAAATACATCTCCGCGACGTCACAGATGAGTCCAACTGGATACCTTCTAAATCTCAAAAGTATCTCAAACAGATCATTTTGCATCTTGGGACCCTGGTGTATAACATCATTAAGGGAAATGCCACTACATTTTGCAGATGCGTCAAATACCAACCTGACTTTTGTTGTTGACCTGTCCATATTCACCACTGGAAAATGAGGTAAGTACCATTTTGATTTACTGATGTCTTCCTCTGGAACTTTTCTGATGTAATTCTTTTCAAGGTACTTAGCTATGACATCTTCATATGCTGCTAAGATGGTATCATTTTTTGACAATTTCTTCTCTGTATCTTTCAAACGTTTCAATGCCATCTCATAATTGTCTGGCAATATTTCAGGATCCAATTTCCAAGGAATGCCTACTTTATATCGCTCATTTGTGTAGCTAAGGGACGTTTTAACAGCTTGAAGTGCATCTTCCTCTTCAGGACTCAACTTGGGTGTTGCAACAGCAACCTCTTCAGTTTCCCAAAACTTCTGAACTAGTTCATCAAGACAATCATCTGCACACCCAGAAACAGCATGCTGAACAAAGCATACATGTGACATCTGGTTCTGGGATGCACAACCTTTTGGAACTATCCCCACACATGTCCACCCTAACGGTGTGAGTCTTGCACCTGGCTCTCCAGGTAGTCCATACAGTTCTTTTGTGAACTGTGCAACTCGATATAATCCATCCCTATGAGGATGTCTATTATTGGCGGAGAAACTGGTTTAGGAAAATCTACACGTTCCAAATGTTTCCAGTTTTCTTGGATCTTTTGCCAGTTCACAGCAGGCAATGATCCTGTCACTTAATTAGTCGTCAACGCCTTCACTGACATTTGTACTGAACCATCAACACTTTCAAGGTCAAAGTGAACACACTGACTATTAAACGTCTCAGTTTTGCTATTCAAAACGTTAACAGAGATCTGTTGATATCTACCTTGAAGACCTAATTGATTAGCAATGTCCTCATTAATGTAAGTTTGAGTACTGGCGTCATCCAACAGAGCATTGACCTTTATTTCAGAAGTGCCATTCTTTAAGACAACTGGTACAGTCCTGAGTGCATAGGTCTTAGCTTGTTGTTTAGTAGTTGACATTGTAACAGATGAAAATTGCTCTGTACTATCTGAGGTTTGTTCAACATCAACTTGTAACTGTGTTTTGCTGCTATGAAGTAAACGATTATGTGTTGCTTGGCATCCATCAATGTTGCATTTTTCCGACTGTTGACAATGTTTCCCTACATGGCCTTTGTCTAAGCATCGAAAACAAAGTTGCAGGCGTTTTACAGTTTCCCATCTGTTGGAAACATCAAGAGCTTTCAGTTTACGACACTTTGAGGTTGTATGGTTTTGCATTTGACATACATGACACTTGAGTGTTTTCTCATTGTTCTTGCACCAAAGTAAACACCTTTCTGTGTACGTGAACATGATTGATCTATCTTATATTTTTCTGAAACACCATGTTTAACCTCTGATGCTATCATCTGAAATTCAGATTCTCTGACTACCCATTCACGCAGAGTTTCTACTGACTCTTGCCTTTGTGATTCGAACATCCATCTCTGAAAGTGAACTAACATTGATTCAGTCAGTTTTGTTTTAATATAGAGAGAAGACAGCCGTCTCCCAACTCTTCTACCTTATCATTGTCTCTTAGACTTACAACCAAGACATCCAACAAATCGGCGAATTGTTCAAAATCCTTTGCATTTCCGTTTCTAACAGGTTTGAATTTTTGAAATTTCCTCTATTTTCAGAGCTATCTCTCTCCGCTTACCTCCATATCTCCTATCAAGTTTTCTAACCCAATGTCGTAAGCGTAAGCACTGTGGCCCAATCTATTGACTAATGTTAGAGCTTCACCTGACAAATATTGTTTTAGTTGCAGCAACTTATATTCGCCTGTTGCGGGGCTTTGTCCCACATGCCATAAATGCTGCTCTCCAGCTTTCATATTCTTGAACTTTACCCGAGAATACAGGAATTGAAACTCTTTTCAGTTGTTTCCACATGTCTCGTCCAATTTCAGCATTTTCAGAGTTATCTGTCACAACCTTTTGTCTACCATGAACTGGTTGTGTAGCTGCGGTTTCTATTGGCTTTACATCATCACCATGCTTTGAAACTTGATCACTTCTAACCGACTTTTTGTCATCTTGAACAGAATCGTGATACCCTATTGTTGTACAACCTGTCAATACCCTCTCTCAGACTACCTGCTGAAGTACTAGCAGTATTGTTCAAGTATACCAAAGCCATGTTTACGGCAGTTTCACTGTGTCTTCAAGTGGCTCAATCTCTTGAATAGTTTTATGAAACTTTTCTAGATCATCAATTTCTTGATAAGCTTCAGCCAAGCTTACTATAACACCCACTGTCTTGCTTTGTAGTGAGGCAACCTTGTTAATATAATCTCTGATTGACTGTCTTGAAGGTAGTTCTTGATCAAGTAAAGCTAACAACTGGTTTTTAGCTTTTGTGAGTGCCGTTTTCGAACTGGTCTTTGCACGTTTAAGTTTTATTATTTGTAAATTGAGCATGGTACCCTTGCTATCGGCTTCTGGTTTGGCCATGATGAAAGTAAAAATATTGAAAAAATAACACTATCTACACTGGGAGAAAGACAGATCACCTAACACTTACCTGAATAAATAAATTCAGTTCAGAAATAAAGAGCAGTAACCACGCTCTGCTACCAAATGTTTACGCAGTGGAATTACTAAATTTATTTGTGAACGTGAAACGTGCAAAAAACGTAAATAAACAACCTTCTTGCCACTCCGACCACCAAACTAAATATGATACTTTTTGCCACCCGACCACCAAACTAAATATGATACTTTTTCTAAACTACATGAACTAAATAAGCTATCTACTAAGATACACAACTATAATTCTAAATTGTTTAGTATCTATACTATGCCCGAATATGGCAAACTATTTGTGTAATCTAACGACCAGAGTCTCACTGATCACAATTGTCGACCATTCACCTAGCCGTCAGAAACCTATCTGCTCGACTCTGCACGTGCAGAAAGTGACTGCACGAGGCGTTACGGTTGCGTTTTGATGCAACGTTCATGGTTCTTGTAAAGATGTGTTTTGGCTATCAGATAACTAAAAAACCAAAGAAACTAAATTTCTCTCCAGAACAATCATGAATATCACAAATTGTTTGTGTCCATTCCAATCACGCAGGGCTTGGAAAGCTGATGGTAGAGGACAAACTGAGATCAACACCCCATGTAATACACTCACAAGGAATAAACTTTTTCACTCAATAATGTTATAACGGAGTGATCTTCAACAAAACTTTTACTGTATGCCTGTATATGCTGAAAACACAACAGCCATCATCACATGTTGACGTTCAATGGTGCATAAATGTTATTATAAGGTTATAAATGATTTGACACTAAAGAAGAGACCCAGCCTTCGGCACAGTTGGACACCGCAAGGCTACAACACTACAGACGTCTACAGTGTTTGGCTGTGTATCAATTAATGTGCAGTTGGAAACAGAGATAAATTTATTATTGTTCAGTTATTCATTTATGAAAAATAAGGCATCTAAATGTACTCACACTGACATACAGGATACAGAAAAAGCAAAAACTGACTTAAGGCTACCGCGCTGCATGTGGCTACAGTAATCAATCAAAGTGACTACAGCGATCTATCTGGAAACCTCTGTTTTACCTGTCGCTAAGGGCAATATGTTTTATTTCTGCTAGTGTGATCACAATCATGGATTCTCTCAGACGCGCTGTAATAAAGTTCTTTACCAAGCAGGG